GGGAAAGAGGGAGGGAGGAGAGCACTGCAGCATCCACCTCTCCCAAGCCAGGTGCTCCTACTGACACCCCACCAGGCCCATGGGTGGGTGGCAGGGAAGGAAGCAGGACTCTGGTGTCATGGGCTGAGACTCAGCTCAACAACAGGGTGGAATGAAAAGTGCCCTGGGGTTGTGGTTGTCCCCAGGGCCTTGAGGAACCTGAGGATGGAGACTTTACCTTGCTAAGGACCTGCAGACGTTTCTTCTCCTTGTCACTGGTGGCCAACAAAGCAAACTGCTGCAGCAGCAGGGGGGTGGGAGGGGTGGTGATGTCCAAATAGTACTTAAAAGCCTGGAAGATGGTGCATGGTGGGACACGGTTCTCATCTGTCCAGTTGCTGATGACACCTGCCAGGAGGGAATTCAGCACCACCACAGGATCAGCTCAGCACAGGAGCCAAGGTGGACAAATCCTGGCTTTCATTCCCCTTATCAGCTCCAAGACAGTGAATGATGAAGAGATGGAAAGCAGAGTCACCAAGATGTCCTCATGCTACAAGTGAGATGCTGTCCAGTGAGGACAAATATGAGCCTGACACTCCACCACCTTCAGCCCTGGTCACTGGTTTCCATCTCCTGTGACACTGGGCATGGCAGAACTTAGCCCTGAAATACAGTGTTGGGATGGTCCACCAAGATCCCTTCAGTCTTCTTTCCAGTCCTAGGCATTACTTTTCCCATGAGAATATGGACACCTTTCGTTCTTCTGAAGAACAACAAGCAAACACCTCTCCAGGGCCCTGCTCACCCCTCAAACCCTTGCTCTGCACCCCAAATGCAATGGCTCTGGGCAGAGGAAGGTTGAAGGAGGTGCTCCCAGTCCAGGTGAATGCACCAGTGAGATGGGAAATAATTTCTCCTGGGGGCCACCTACCTCCCTGAGGAACTACAACAACTGCTACAAGGGATGGGTGAGGAAGAGAGAGGCCACCTCTACATAGATGTGGCCCTGGTTACCTAGAGCTGTGCTCCTCTCCTCCAGGAGCTCCACCTTCACCAGCTGGTTGGCTGGAGGGGCATCTTCAAGCCTGTCAATCAGGGCATTGACCAAGTCCTCATGGTTCCCTGGAAAAACACCCAGGTGGTCCCCAGGCAGGTACTGCAGCTCCTGGTGCCCGTTGGTGTGGAGGCGCAGGAAGATGGTCAAGCGACTGCAGGGAGAGGATAAAAAGCAGGATGTGTTTTGGGGGTGTCCTTCACGGAGCTGCTGAGCTCAGGCCTCCAGAGCTGCTGGGTGTGCTGGGCTGTGGTGGCACATCCAAGCCCTGGTGCTCTGCTGAGAACGTCACCAAAGTCACAGCAGGGACCTAGAAAGGACATTGCAGTGACCACCTCAGCTCACTGCTGGTTCACCCTCGGGGACTTTTTAAAGGGCAAAACCAGTCTGACCTCTTGCTCCAGCACTTCTTTCTTTGCATGTGTCCTCCCACCCCACAGCCACCCAGCTTCTCCTCCCTGCAGCCAGCAGGTTCATCCATGGTATAAGAAGGCAGGAAACACCTTCTGCTGGGTTAAGGCAGTGGCTTGGTGGTCATTTGCACAAGGGTGGTGGCCATGGGGCATTTGGGTGACAAGGGGCACTGGCAGCACTGTGGGCATGGGTGCACCAGCAGCACCTTCATCTCCCCCAGGTCTCAGGGCAGCCCCATGTCCTACCTGGACTTTGGGCTCTGCAGGTTCTGGCGCGTGATGAGCCGGGCAGCGTAGACACGTTTCTTGTGGATGCTGTAGAGTCCTGTGGAGGAGAGGAGCTGGTGGAGCAGCCCAGCCCTGCGTGGCCAAGGAGGGTGGCTGCTGGCCTTGGAAGGGCTGTCAGCTGCTGCTGAGGGTTCAGCACAGGACTCCACCACCCTCCTGCCTCCATCTCATAGAGTCATAGAATTCCATACTGGTTTGGGTTGTAATGGACCTTAAAGATCATCCAGTCCCAACCCCCTGCCATGGGCAGGGACACCTCCCACCAGCCCAGGCTGCTCCAAGCCCCATCCAACCTGCCCTTCAACACTGCCAGGGATGGGGCAGCCACAGCTTCCCTGGGCAACCTGGGCCAGGCTCTCACCACCCTCACAGCAAAGAATTTCCTCCTCATGTCCAACCTCAATCTCCCCTCTTCCAGTTTTAATCCATTTCCCCTTGTCCTTTCACTCCCTGCCCTTGTCCCAAGCCCCTCCCCAGCTTTCCTGGAGCCCCTTCAGGCACTGGAAGGTGCTCTAAGGTCTCCTTGGACTGTCCTGGGGGATCAGAGACCCCAGGGGGGAGCCAAACTCATGTCCCTTCTGTTGGTGACTGAACAGGACTCGGACACCACCCTCATGTGTGGTTGTGCACCTCTTGCTGCCAGAACCACCTGGTTGGGAGAGCAAAGAGCCTGAATTTGGGGAGGGCTGAGGACTGTGATGGTTTCTCAGCTGCAGGAGCCATGCTGAGGAGCCAGGTGTCCACTGGGCTGGACCTGCCTTAGCGCCGCAGCGCTCGGCTGAGCGGCTCCTGGCCAAAGAGCTTGGACAGCTCCCAGGTTTCCAGGGTTTGGCTTCAAAAACAGGGTCAGGAGGAGTGAGATCAGAACACAGCCTAACATCCTGGCCACAGATAAAGGCAGGGACCAGCCAGTGGGGCCTGGGACCTTCACAAGCTGCTCCTCCAGCACGTGATGGAGGGGAAAAGCAAGACTGAAACGCTGGGAATTTAATACAGGATGAGGAGATTTGTCCCCTTTGCCCCCCACTCGAACCCACTGTGTCTTCTCCTCCATCTGCCCCACACCTAGAGCCTTCCAGGGTGGCCCCATCTTCATACCTTGTGTGAGTTCAGGGGCTTCAGCCACGTAGGTGAGGCGGAACTTGCTCCTCTTCCAGCTCCGGTCGTTGCTGATGAGGGAGTTGTTTGCCTTCTCGATGTTGACGTCGTCCCCCACGCAGAACACGTCACACGCTGCCTGCAGCACCACCAGCCCCTCAGGCATCTCCCCCCTGCCCCTGGGCTTCCCAACCCTGCCCCATGACCCACCTTGTCCCACCCCAGCTCAGCCATCCCACGTGGCCCCGACGGGTGGTGGCCCCAATGGTGTAGGGCTATACTAGCGACCATGGGCACAGCTCATGGTGTCCTCCTCCCTCAGGGATCTGGGATAACTCAGGAATCTCACCCTCTGGCAGTCAGCACAGACCAGGGTGTCACCTCCACCAAAATATGGAGAACCTCTTTATTGTGGGCCAGGTGGATGGACGTATGTCTTGGTGTGGGGAAGGTGAGGCTGGATTTTGGTCCAGCTCTAACCGGCAGCTTTGCTCTGTCCCTGTGTCCTCCTTCCCTCTGCTCCTCCCTGGAGCACAAGGGCCTTCAGGGTTACCTTGAAGACCTTCTTGGCCCAGGTCCTGAAGGACTCCTCCTGGCCACAGAGCTCATCCCCTTCTCCCATGCGGAGGATCCTCTCTCCACCCAGCTCCTCCAGGAGGGTGTCCACCGCCCGGGCGAAGGCGCAGAAATGGGGGTAAGCACGAGATCCCAGCCCAAACACAGAGAACCTGCAGAGAGGTGGCACAGCTGTGACCACAGAGCTGGGAGGGACACCAGCATCTCCATCCTGCACCACCACCACGGCCATGAGGGAGCCTGGAAGGATCTACACGTTGCAAAACCACATCGTATGCTAGGAAAGGAAGAAGGGGTGGGAGAACAGGGCTCTGTGCAGCACCAGCTCCTGCTCTGACCCTTCTCCACAAGGCACCACTGTCTCCCCCATCCTGTCCCACTCACCTGACGTTAGCCAGAGGTCCTGTGCTCTCAAAGTTGTCCCTGGAGTCAGGGCCATCACTTGAGGACTTCCGTGCGTCCGAGTAAGAGGAGACGCTGTTGAAACGGACCTTGTAGCTCCTGGGAAGAGCAACAGCATCAAGTGTCATGACAGGGGCACGTGTGGTCCCCACCGGGCTGTGTGTCCACTGGAGGTGACCAAACCAGGATGGGGTCAAGCTCAGGGCTCAATATTTCATGAGCAGGCACTGAGAGCAGTGGGGGGAAGCCCCAGCAGCCCCCGTGTTGCAGCCCCCCCAGATGGACGTGGTCTCCTCCATGAGGTCCTTCCAGTGGGTTTGGCCACCATGTTGTCCCCCAGAGGTGCATTGCTGACATGACCTTTGGCTTTACCTGCCCTTTTTCCCTGGTGGCACACGAGGTTGGCACCCACATCGTTGGGAATGTGTCTGAAAGGATGTTCTGAAGGGTTTTTCATTCCCAGGAAGCAAAAAAAAAATACAACCAAACCACCGAAAAGGAGGGAGAGAAGAAGGGATGAGGAGGGGGGAGGGGAGAGGAGAAGAAAACCTGACAACAGCAGAAGTATTTCTGAATGGAACCATCTTCAAAAATTGCTCTACACAAGAGTTTCTAAATATACTGCAGGAGCAGTGAGGCAGTGGGGTGGGGATGAATCAGAGCAGAGCTCCTGCACATGGAATCACAGGGTGCCAGGGCTTGGGAGGGACCTCCAAAGACCATCGAGTCCAACCCTCCTGCCAGAGCAGGACCAAAACTAGGGCAGATCCCTCAGAAAGGCATCCAGACTGGTCTGGAAAGTCTCCAGAGAAGGAGACTGCACAACCTCTCTGGGCAGCCTGTCCCAGGGCTCTGCCACCCTCACAGGAAGGAAGTTCAAGGGCTCAAGGTTGGGACACCAGCAGCTCTTGCTGAAATGAGCAGGTCCTTGGGCAGGAGATCACAGAATCACAGAATTGTGGGAAAGGACCATCTGGAGTCCAGCCCCCTGCTGGAGCAGGATCCCCCAGAGCAGATCCCACAGGAACATGCCCAGATGGAATATCTCCAGGGCTGGAGATTCCACAGCCCCTCTGGGCAGCCTGTCCCAGGACTCTGTCACCCTCACAGGAAAGAAGCATTTTATATTTAGGTTAAACCTCCTGTGCTCCAGCTTGTGCCCATTGCCCCTTGTCCTGTCACTGGACACCACTGGGAAGTCTGGCTGCTGAAGGATGGGCTGCCTTTGGACAGCAAGTCCTTGGATAGGAATGGTGCCTGAATGCCTCAGGAAACCCTTGGAAAACCCTTGCTGGAGAACAGAAGGAACCAAACACACAACCACAGCAAACCCTCTGGGCTGTGGTCAGAGTGGGGTGACCACAGTGCCCTAAGAGGCTCCTCAAGACACTTAGAGAGGCCACCAACCCCCCTGCAGGGGCTCAGCCACCCTCAGCTTCCCCTGGTGGGCACTGGGAGCCCCTGGGGTGCACGGGCAGGAGCTGCTCTGCCCACCCCTTCCCTGTAGACACCAGGCTGCTCTGCTCCTCTTTCCCAGACAGACTCCTCCACGTCACATTTTCTCACTGCAAAAGTTCCTTTTCATGCTTAACATCAGCATCTCTTCCCACCAGCCAGAGCCACGACCCCTTGACCTGTCTGGGGGGGCACAGGGAGTGATTTATTCCCTCTGCCTCTGCAATCACCTCTTCCCTAGGTGAGCTCTGCTGCCTCACTGCCTTCCTGTCTCCTCTCCTCCACCTAAAAAAGCTCTAACCCTTTGGATCTGTCCTCTCAGCCCACAGTTTCCAGCACTCTGACCACTTCTCCTGGGAGGTAACTCAACCACAGCCTGTCCTGGCTCTTCCAAACTCCTGCCAGTCCCTTAGATCACACTGAGAGGTGACTGGGTCAGGCAGCACCCAGCTCAGGTGCTTTTGTCCTCCTTGCCACAGGCTGCACCTCCACACCTGACCCAGTGTTGCACCAACCCAGCCCCCAGAAGTCAAGCTCCTCGGGGTGAGAACCACCCTCAAAATGCCCCATCTCCATCCAGCCACGTCCCATGGTGTCAGTTGCCCAGAGAGGTGGTGGATTCTCCTTCTCTGGAGACTTTTCAGACTCGTCTGGACACGTTCCTGTCTGATCTTCCCTAGGTGTTCCTGCAGCAGGGAGGTTGGACTTGATGATCCTCAGAGGTCCCTTCCTACCCCTCTGATTCTATGATTAAGGCACGAGGACCATTAAGAACCTCATGGGTTTGGGGCTGATGAAACCCGCAGGGATCCAGCAGATGACTTGTCTGCACAGCAAGGAGACCACTTTGGAGAGGTACAGCTGGGTCCTTGCCCTGCCTGGGGGTGTTCATCACGTCTCTACAGAAAATCTAGGTGGTCCAATCCCCCTCTGCCTCCAAGCAGTGCTAATTCTGCCTTAATTAACGAGGAGGCTCCAGCCAGTGACGAGCGTCGCGGGGTTGACTCCAGAGAGACCCCAGAGCAGTGTCCCAGTTCTGCAAAATGTTCTGAAGAGCTGAAAGAAGAGGAGCCCCATAATAATGAACACTTTGCTGCCTGCTCTCAACTCCCACCCACGGGAGATGGGGGGTTTCCAACACCCCAGCCCCTGTCTCCACGACAGCAGTCCCAGCCCGAACGTCACCAATGTCACAGCCAGGATTTGGAACACTTCTTATTTTCCCTCCCACCCGAGGCAAGAGGTTGAATTGGGTTCTCAAGGCCTCCCCCACCCACACCCACGTAGCTGGGAACTCCCTTCTACCTCCAAGCCTTTCTATTTTGGTGCTCCCTGGAGAGCCCCAGCTCTCAGATTTGGTGACTGGGGGGGGGGAATTCCTGCTCTATTTGGGTTTTCTTCACAGATTCCTGCCACATGGAGCTGAAAGGAGAAGCTTTCAAATGCCAGCTGGAGTCCACAGGCATGACTGACTCAGAGCTTTTGTCCTCCCTGGGACCTCCACCTGCTCCATCCCCTGGTTCTCCAGGCAGATCCCATCCCTTGGAGCTCTGCAGACTTGAAACCTGCATGAGGATTCCACACTCTCGAGAGGAGGGGAGTGGAGAAGCAGGTTTCCTTGCTGGGGTTGTGAGTGGGAAGGGGTTGGGGGTGCTCTTACTTCCTCTCCTCCAGGTTGGAGTTGGGATTCTTCATCTCCATCAACGCGCAGCCAAATTTCTGCAGAACAGAGGTTTCAAAGAGGTTGATCAGACTCTGCAGGAAGGCAACCATGAGCAAAGCCTGGGCTGCAGCTCTGCCCTCTGCTTGCACGGGGCTGGAGGAGGTGGTAGCTCCTCAGCCAAGGCTGGCACCTCTGGTGTGACCCTGACATCAGCTCCACAGGATGAAGGGCACCCCCATTCTAGAGGGCTGGAGGTATCACCTGGTATCACACACGACCTGGACCCTTTTGGGGCTATTCCAGCTCAGGCTGAGCAAGCAGATGATGTTCTTCCCCTGTTCCCCACCACCTTTCTCCTGCCCATGTCCCTGCCACAGCCATCCCTGGGCACTGTCCTACCTCTCCATTCTCAGGGGGGTCTCCATTGCCAAAGGTGCTTGTGACCACCAGGACCATGGTTTCATGCTCGAGGTGCACGATGTCATACTCATCCATGGACATCACCTGGGAGGGACAGGGATCTTAGCAAGAGGCCCTTGGTGGGAACCTCTACCACCAGCCCTGGGATGGAGCCCAGATGGGAGCAGCATCTCCTTGCTGACTCCAAGCCCTGGCAGAGATCTCCACATAGGAAGGGTGAGAACAAAAGTGTCAAGGGACATGGCCAAACTATGGGGCCACCACTTGAGAGGCAGAAGACAGATGTGTCCCACAAGGAAGGTCAGGAACATTAGCTGGAAATGCTGTTGGTGTGCAGGCTTCGACCCAGACCCACAGGGCCACGTCTGTGGAGCTTCTAACCACCCTTGGCAGCTGGGAAGCTGCCCATGCATTGAGCCATGGCTTCTCCAGTGGCCATGGAGTGCTTGGGCCACCCAGATGCAGACAAAACCATGCAGGGGCTGGGAGCTGGGGCAGTACCTTGGCATCAAAAGCATGTTTGAAGATCTCACACAGGGTTTTTGCATAGACCTGCGACTTCCCGGTCTCGGTGGCATAGAGGATGGTTGCTTTGACCCTCTTGGCCATGGCCTGTCCCATCAGCTTGGCTGAGAACTTCACAGCTCTGGGAAGCAAGAATCAAACCCGTTGAGTGAGTCTGGTTCCTTGTCAGAGCCTCTAGCCCTGTCTGTTCACACTGTTTTATTCATCCTTAGGTGCAGAACCTGCCTGAAAAGCTGCAGCATCACTTTTTGGTTGTTACAGGGCAGAGGTGGAAGCTATGGAAGAGGATGTTCATCTTGACTTGTCAAAGAGGAAGACTGGAATACCTGAGGGGGTATGAGGAAAATGCTAAACCAGGTCTAGAGCTGGTCTTTCTGCAGGGACAGAGAAGCAGAAGAACCAGGGACAGCACTTGCTGAAGGCAGGGACCAGATGACCTCAAAGGAAAAGCTGGAGCCCAACCAGACTCCAAGCTATGAGAGGAGCAGTGGCTTCTCCATCTCTTCAGGTCTTTAAATCCCACCTGGCTGCCTTTCTGCAGGAGGTGTCCTAGGTGAGCAGCAGTGTCCAGCTCCTCCCATCCCACACCAGGCCCTGAGGCACCAGCCCAGGCTGGCTCTGGCCCCTCTGCTGTGCACTCCAGCATCACTACAACCTTGTCTCAGAGGAACATCCCTCCTGAGGCTGGAAGGCATGTTCATGGGTGCCTTTGCAGGGCTGTGTCTACCTGGGTGTCTCCTGTGGTTCCAAGTGTGACTGGATGCATTTGATCCAGTTTTCCCCACTGGCTCAGCTCTGCCAGCAGGGCAGAGGGGCCCAGAGAGGTCACCACCTTCTCTAATCCTGGCCAAGGGGGTGCAGAACTAGAAATTATCAGATGACCTGAGGGCTGGAGCAGCTCTGCTCTGGAGACAGGCTGGGAGAGTTGGGGTGTTCAGCCTGGAGAAGAGAAGGCTCCAGGGAGACCTTAGAGCAGCTTCCAGGGCCTGAAGGGGCTCCAGGAAAGCTGGGGAGGGACTTGGGACAAGGGCAGGGAGGGAGAGGACAAGGGGGAATGGATTAAAACTGGAAGAGGGGAGATTGAGGTTGGACATGAGGAAGAAATTCTGTGCTGTGAGGGTGGAGAGACCCTGGCCCAGGTTGCCCAGGGAAGCTGTGGCTGCCCCATCCCTGACGTGTTGAAGGGCAGGTTGGATGGGGCTTGGAGCAACCTGGGCTGGTGATTCTATGAAATACCAGCTCCTTATCTCCCCTAATGCTGCTGGATGGGTTGGCATCAGGGGGAGCACAGTGATGGGGGACAAGAGAGGCTGTCATCAGAGAGCTTTGGGTGGCACAGTGGGGAACACAGCCCAGTGCAACAGGTTTATTATTTTAGGGCTGTTCTTAGTCACAGAATTTAGACATCAACATCATTCCTCCCAAATGCAGAACTGTAGAAGGGTTTGGGTTGGAAAAAACCTTAAAAATCATCCAGTTCCAACCCCCCTGCATGGGCAGAGACACCTCCCACCAGCCCAGGATCTTCAACCTTTTCTAAATGAACCATCAAACCTTTAAATGAGGCCACCAGAAGGGCAGGTCTGGCTGGTGTCCTGCAACAGGCAGGGGTGGGTTTGGTGGGGCTGAGAGAGCACAAAGCATCTCTGAGACCTTTGCAAGTGTAAGGGCTGCTGGAACAGCTTTGATGGGGTGATCAGCCCCTGCCCTGGGTGGATCAAGGTCAGGAGGACTCCTGCATCCCCTTCAGATGAGCTCTGGGGGATGGAGGTGGCAGCTGGACTGGTTATACTGGCAGGAGAAGAGAGGCCTGGCTTCCCCCTGCCCTTCCTGCCAAAGAGGGAAGAAATGCTCTGGGTTTGGAAAATCACTTGGGGATAAAAAAAATGGGGAGGAAAGAAGAGGCAGAAGCCCCCACCAGGAATGTCCTGCCTCCTCTGGGCCCCTCCTCAGGATTTTTGCTGTCCCTTTGCCTTCCCATGAGGGTGGTGTCCCCTGGCTCATGGGGTCCCCAGGGGAGGGAAGGGGCAGGATGGGCAGGGTTTGGGTGCTCTGCTCTGGGCAGAACCAGCTCAGCCTGGCTGAGCAGGCAGGGACCTGGTGCTCCCAGCAGTGCCAAGTGCCACACTCAGGGCTGCTGGGCTGGACCTGCCCCTGGTTCAGCTGCTGAGCCCAGATCCAGGCAGAATTACTGGTGAATTACAAAACTCATTCTCCCCACCCCCCACACACCCCAACAATGGAGATTCTTTGGTTTGTTTTTAATGACCTGCCGTGCTTAGATGTTTATAAAACCATTTCTCAATCACACACACAAATCAAAGCATTGTTTCTCCTAACTCAATGGCTCCATTAATCTTCCTGTGGCCTCCAGCAGCCTTGGAGCTGCAGCTCAGGGCCCAGCACCACTGCCAGCCTGAGGAGCATGTTCCTCAGCTGTTGATCATATCTATGGATGCACCATGGAAAACAGCACCCACAAGGTGACAATGAAGAGTGGGAATAACTGAGAGTTGGGACTTGGGGAGCCTGAAGCGTGGAGAGATGCTGTGAACAGCATGAGGCCACCTGGCCATGGACACCTGGGAAGCCCCAGCCTCCCCTGGTCTTGCTCCAGGGCTCTGCTGCACTGGACCCAGCAGCTCCTACAAAAACCTCTCTGTCAGTGGCCCATGGGAGAGACATTCAAGCCAGGATCAGCTAAAAGGCCCAAATTAGTCTTCATTCCTACACCCCTGCTGACCAGGAGCTTTGGCAGGGGAGAGGAACCCCGTGGCCCATTACTAGGGGTCAACTGGGATGAGGTGTGAACCCCAGCTCAGCCCTGATCCATCTGCTGCCTCTAGGGAGATTCCTCATTCCTGTCTCTAAGTGGGTGGTTGAAGCTTTAGACACACCCTGGAGACAAGTGCTCCTCAAGTAGCTAAGAAGTCAGTGAGAGAAAGAGAAATATGTGCACCAGTTCCATCTGGCTGGTGCCAGCACAGCCCTGGGCAGTGATGGGTGATTTTCCTGCCCCAGGAGGCTCCAAATGTCCCTCTTGGCACCTAAAGCCTGAGCTCCAGGCTCACAACCCATCAGTTTGCAGACACCTATAGGGCTGCTCCATCAAACCTCACAGCAGAGGTGCCCCAAAGCAGGACCAGCCCCTCAGAGCCCCTTGGTACTTACTTTGCTAACTTCTTAAAGCCAATGGCCCTCTTCTTGGTGGGGGTCCCATTGACTCCTTTCCAGACGTGGGTGTTCCAGGGGTCAGGCTAGAAGAGAGAAGAGCAGCAGTGGCTGGTGGGGAGTGCTCAGAGCTTCAAGAAGTTCTGCATCCCCAGCACTGAGCATGGAGCTCCTCTGGCCGTGATGGGGAGAACTTGCTGACCTCTCTTATCTCCTGGCCAGCTCCCTTGGAGCCCTGTGGTTTTCTTGGGGCAGTTGGCCAATGAAATATGGCCAGAGAAATTGCAATATAATCCAACCTGGCTGCCTTGGAGCAGCATCTGGCCAGATGGTTTCTCACCACTGAGATGGGCACTAATAACTCAGGAGCAAACAGGAGGCAAGGAACACCAGAAGGTGATGGGAACCTTCCCCAACCCACAGGTTGGTTCTTTCCCTCAAGAGGCCCTTGGGGAAGGAGAAGCAGCTGAAGCAAGGACCAAGCACACAGAAGCTAATTCAGTGCCCTGGCAGGCAGCTGCCTGTAATCAGGGCCAGGAACCATCGGGGTTCCCAGTGGATCCGTTCTGGAAATGAACAGACTGCTCCTGGTTTGTGATTGTTCCTCAAGGGCTCTTGACTAAAGGTCACATTGTGTGAAAACCACAGGAGCAGGGCTGGTTGGTAAATGAGGGTGTGTTTGCTTCAAGCCCTTTTGCTTGAAGTGTTAAATATTCCAGCACCAACGTTCCAACCTGCTGGGCAGGAGACCACCCATCAAACTGCAGGAGCCAGCCACTCAAATCTGCAGGCTGGAGGGATGTGGTGACCACCAGGTCATTCCTCAACCCACCCAGCAAAGTGCAAAATCAGGCACTTCCAAAGGGAAAAGCTCCTTGGAGCCTCAGCATGACCAGAGAAGAGCAAAAAGCCATTTCCCTCGGGACACCACACTAGGAGGAACCATGAGTGATGCTTCTTCAAGGACTTCACCACCTCAAGGAAGGGGTTAGAGGGGTTAGATGGGGTCTCTCTCCTTCCTGCATCACCTGAACTCCAGCTGCCAGCCCTGCTCTTGGGGGTGTGGAAGTTGGGCTGCAGAACCTACCTGGTACTCGAAGGAGGGCGTGAGCCGGTAGTTGAGCATCTCCTGGTGGAAAACTGGGGTGATGCTTCCAGACATTGGTGGGACAATCCAGACCCAGTCAGCAGGACAGCCCCCACGGCACCGGTACTCGTTCTCCATGTGCTTGATGAAGGACTCAGTGGCTGAGTGGTGGTCAACAATGGTCACCTTGTCGCTCTGTTGGAGGGAGAAGGGAGCAGAGCCAACAGTGACTAAATGGGTCAACACTTCCCAGAAGGTGAAAGCCAAAATTGTTACACTTGGAGGTTTTTTTTGACTCAAATGTGCCTCACTCCTCTGATCTTACAGGGCTGTACCCTTGGAGGTGACACTGGGTGGCTGCTGACCCTGGTCTTCCCAAGGAGCACAGTCACTCAGCAATGCCATTTTCCAGGGATGAGGACCTTCCCTTGCCCTTCCCAAATGGATGGCTGTTCCTCCTGCTCTTGGTCATAGGCCAAGCAAAGACTAAGATGACATGAGCAGGATGGAGCACCTCCTGCCCACCACCCTGGGGAACTCTTTCATGGCTTGAACAACTCAAGGAGCAATTCTGATCCAGCTCTGGGAAGGACTTCCAGCCTCTCCAGTTGGGTTGCCAAGGTTCTGCAACCTTTAAGGGAGGAGAACCTGGGCCAATTCTTCCCTCATGGATGGGACAGAAGGGCTGGATCTGCTCCCCCTTGGGACACTCCCTCTGGACCAGCAGAGCTCAGATGCTGGTAGGAATGTCTTTCCAACATTCAGGACATGGAGATGATAAAGTCTCACTGTAGGCTTCTGGAACAGTCCAAAACTAGGAGCACAATTTCAGCTGCTGCCATTGTCCTTGGGCAGATGTCTCATCCCATCCACTATTTGTGTCCCTCAAGCCTGATCCAAACACAACAGAGTCCTTCACTCAGGTACCTGGAAGCTGTACAGCACAGCAATGTTGATCTCCACCAGGGCCTGGTCCTTCCACAGGGATGAAGTTTTCCTCATATCCAGGTTCATTTTTTTGGCTACTTGCTGTAACAGAACATGGTAGAAGGAGGGTCCCCATGAGCAGGTGTGTCCTTGAGGAGTCACCAAGTGCCTCAGCATCCTCTCAGCTCCACTACATCTTCCCACTTGACCTCAATCAAGCACATGACCAAGTGCCTGATGATCTATAACATCCTTTGAGAAGTCCATTGGCAACTCAATAGGCATTATGCTTGCTGGTCATCTTCAGAGGTCCCTTGGAACCCTGACACCTCTGTGATACCATCTGGCCCCCATAGGACACCAAAAAATTGCCAGCCCATCACACCAGGAGCTCCAGGAGAACATAGCTGCTCTGTCTAAGGGATATCCTGTTTTCCCCCACCCAAGGCAACACTCTCCCAGTGTCTTGCCTGCTCCCCAGAGACTTCCCACCCACCCACTGCCCCCCAGGAGGGCCTGGTCTCCTCGAGGAGAGGGAGTTACCTCCAGTATGTTGTAACGAGAGTTGTCACAATAGTCCCGGACCCCGATCTCTGTCCCCATGTACCAGCCACTGAAGGGGCAGGCAGAGAACTCCAAGCCACCAATCTCAAGGAGCATGTTGGACACGGCTGGCAATCCATACCACTTCAGGCCCAGGTCCTTGAACCATTCAAACCTGGTGGGACACAACAGGGTGGGTTGCTCACCCGTCCTCAGGAAGGGGGAATGGAGGAGGTAACTTTGCTGCCAGGCTGAGGGACACGTGAGTGGAGGCAAGAGCTCCTCTTAGGGGAGGTGGTACATCAGGAGAAGAGGTGATACAGACTGAACTAAGGCCTGGGATGCATCAAAGAAAGGGACACCAGCCCTGAGACAAGGACACCACTTGCTTTCCACCCCCAGGTTCTGTCAGCTTTACGTTGGAGTGGAGGGAAGACCTGGCAGAGGGTCCTGGGTAAGTCATCCAAGCCAGAGCAAGGAGAGGCAAAGCCCAGGAGTTGGCTTATGGTGCAACCAGAAGAACAGGGTCCTGCTGATCCCTCAGGCAGTTTTGGGGCTTACTCTTGACTCACTTGGGATGCCTGATGGGCACTTCCAGCACCAGCTCCGGGGGGATTTCAAAGAGCTCTGGGTCGTTGCCGTTGGCTTGGAGGAGCAGGGGCAGGATGTCGAAGCGCCCGCGCGGTGCCTTCCACCCTTGCTGGATGCAGATCTGCAGGCAGAACAAACCTGGGCTTTAGAAGCCCCAGCAGGTCACCTGCTCTTCAAGCATAATGGACACGGTGTCTAATGGTGTCCCCAACAAGATCAGCCCTGATGGTTGGGTGTTGAATTCACCCAAGGAAGCTACAAGGGGGGGTTGCCCGTCCACGGACACATGGGGGGGGGTTGGGGCTGAAAAGAAGCTTAGAGGTAGATCCCCAGTTAGGATCATGGCTCTGAAAAAGCTGCTTATGCTGTTTGTGCCTTAATGGTGAAGGAGAAAGTGGGTGAGGGAAGCAGAGGGATCTGTGAGGAGCTGGGCAGGGCACTGGTGCTGGTGCTGGGTGGGCAGAACAAAAGGCAGATCTCGTTTCTGGTTCCCACCAGCCCAGGTCAGCAGTGGGCACACAGAGAACCCCAGGCTGGTTTGGGTGGGAACAGACCACCCAGTCCCAACCCCCCTGCATGGGCAGGGACACCTCCAAGCAGCCCAGGCTGCTCCAAGCCCCATCCAACCTGCCCTTCAACACTGCCAGGGATGGGGCAGCCACAGCTTCCATGGGCAACCTGGGCCAGGCTCTCACCACCCTCACAGGGAAGAATTCCTTCTTAATACCCAACCCAAATCTCTCTCTTCCAGTTTTCATCCATTCCCTCTTGTCCTCTACAATCCCATGTCCCAAGTCCCTTTCCAGCTTTCCTGGAGCCCCTTCAGGCACTGGAAGCTGCTCTAAGGTCTCCCTGGAGCCTTCTCTTCTCCAGGCTGAACATGCCAACTGTCCCAGCCTGGCTCCAGCCCTTGGATCATCTCCATGGCCCTACTCCTACAACAATTCCCTCAGCACCCTTCTCAGCAAAACCAAAATGAGGTAAGAATCTTTGGGTGCAGCCCTGGCCAACTCCTGCATGCATGAAACCATCCACGTGTGGATCATGATCTGGGGGTAGGGATGAATCCAAGTTCACTCGAAGGTCCTGCAGCGGGTGGGGTAAATCCTGCTCAGGGGCTGGTCAGAGCTGCTCCCTGCCCCAGCAGCTCCGTGCCACTGGTGCCCGGGAAGGGTGGCTTCAGCTGGTACCTCTGTCAGCTCCACGTTGGCTGGGTCTCCCAGGATGGTGCCATCAGGCTGCTTGTAGCCCGCGTAGCGGATGAGCTGGGCGTTCCAGATGCGGAAGTCGTGCTGCTTGTCCGTGCGCTGCGGGAAGATGGTGATGGCAGATCTGGAGGGGAGAGGCAGAGCTGCTCAATCACCCAGCACTTCACGGTTGGAAAAGACCTCGGAGATCACCCAGTCCAACCATCCACCCAGGGAGGGGGGGGAAATATAAGCAACTCCCCCACCCCCGTGGCCACTAAAGTGTGTCTTGAAGAGCCACGTCCGCACGTTTCCTGAACACCTCCAGGGATGGTGACTCCATCACCTCCCTGGGAAGTCCCAGCACCTGACCACTCTCCTGGGAAATAAATTCTGTCTAATATCCAACTTAAAACTCCCTTGGGAGCCCGTTTCCCTCTGGTCCTGTTGCTAATCACTAGTGAGAAGAGACTGGCAGTTGTAGAGAGCAATGAGGTCTCCCCTCAGCCTCCTCTTCTCCAAACAGAGCAATCCCAGCTCCCTCAGCCTCTCCTCATCACACCTGTGCTCCAGCCCCTTCCCCAGCTCTGTTGCCCTTCCCTGGACAATCTCCAGCCCCTCCATGCCCTTCTTGTTGTTGTGAGGGGCCCAGAACTGATCCCAGGAGTCAAGGTGCCCCCCTCACCAGTCCCCAGCACAGGGGGACAATCCCTGCCCTGGTCTTGCTGGCCACACTAGTGCTGATGCAGACCAGGATGCTGGAGGCCTTCTTGGTCACCTGGACCTACACTGGCTCATGTTCAGTAACTGTCAATCAACACCCCCAGGTCCTTTTCCACCAGGCAGCTTTCCAGCCACTCCATCCCAAGCCTAGAATGCTGAGAAGACACAGGCATGGAGGGTTGGAGCAGATCTGAAGAGCAGGTCGTGCTCTGCATGTGATGCAGAACGTAGGAAAGGAGAAGTAATTGGAAAATCTGCCCTTTGAAGTTCCACAAGCAGCAAGAAGAGGGATACTGGGACCAGTAGGACATCAGCCCCTGATCCCAGATCCCTCCAGCCCTTCCCAGGGCAGGTGTTGGCTACAACCATCCTGTTGTGCAGGGGCTGCTCCAGGAGACCACGTCAGCAGGGCCCAGAGCTGGGTTGACAGACATCCAAAGGCCTTTGGATCTGAACCCTGGTGACTCCCTGGTGGCTCACCTGAGGTTCCCTTTGTTGGTGGCATATTTGATGTGGTTGCAGATGTAATTGAACATCCCATGGGCTGTGGTGCAGTCCCGGGCATCAAACACCTGGAAGAGTGGAAACAGTTGTGGGTGCTTCAGGATGCTCCAACTCCAAGGGCACAACCAAGCAGAAGAAACACAACCCAGGGAAAGCCCTAGAGGCCACCATGACTTGTCATGTGTCTGAAGCTCCATAATGATGCATTCCTTGCCTTTACAACTCATGGATGTCTAATCCAGCCACCCTTTTTGCGTTGAAGAGGTGAGTCATGTACTGCTCAGGCACAAACCAACACAGTGCTCCCAACCTGATGCTGTTCCTGACTTATCCACCAACAGTTTTGGTTCCTGCTCTTTGTCTCTTGTAGTCAAGACTCAAGTGGAAATAGGACAGGTATCAGTCAGGCCTGAGACCCACTGAGAGGATGGGGAATCATAGAATGATCTGGGTTGGAAGGGGTGTTTAAAGGTCCAACCTGCCTGCAATGAGCAGGGACACCTTCAACTAGATCAGGTTGCTCAGAGCCCCATTCAACATGACCTGGAATGTTTCCATGGATGGCCCATCTACAAAAGGAAGAGGAAACTGTAAAAGAGGGTCAACAGGAGGCTTGGAGGTAACTTCTTGCAGAAACAGCTCCTCCCAAGGTTCAGATATGCCAAAAGAAACCACGGAGGAGAAGAGCTGGAGGCTGAGCTGGGACTCAGGCAGTGCCTTTGTCCTCTGTGAAGCAACCATAAGAGTTGCCCACCAACACTTGAGCTGTGCTTCAGGTTACAGAGGGAGATGTCATCTCCACACCAAGGGATTCCACTAGAGATCACAAATTCAGACCCTACTCTAGGCTTCCAGCTAGTCAAGAGGGCACTGAACCAAGTCTTCTCCTGCCCACAGCATCTCTGTACCAGGGATGAGCGTGTCCTGCTGCCTCTCTCCAGGCAGAGCCATCCTTTTTGGAAGCAGCATGTAAGACATTGGAGCAGTATCTGATTTTGGAAAACCTTCTCTGGACTGTCAGCTTCCAGTTGGTCCCACTTCAGACACAGACACCTCAGCTCCACCCACCTACCCCCCAAGATGTTTCTCCAGCTCCTGCTGCCTTCCCAGCCTGTGCAGCCCCAGAGCTGGCAGGGAGGGTGTAGCTACTGTGTGCTCAATCACCCCAACTCTACCTCTGCTGAGCATCCCTGGGTATTCCAAGAGCAAGACTTGCCTCTCCAACACTCCAGTGCATTGCTTGGCAGGCAACCTGCCAGTGCCTGTGGTGGAGATGCTGCTCACCTGCAGCTTGGACCACTGAATCCTTCCCACACAACGGGCTGCATTCCTCCAGGCGTGCTTGGCTCCATAGATCAGCTCTGTGTCCCTCAGCTGGTAGGTATCAGTGGCTTCAATCTCCTTGGTCACTTCCTCCAGCCTTTCCATGTGGGCCTTGGAGCCAGATCTGCAAGGGTGGGGAATGGAGGAGATGGGAGTCACCAACCTGGTGGAGGGCAAGGAGTCCTGGGCATGAGTTCCTCCTTTGCTAAGCATGTGTGCATCGTGGCCCATACTTACCTCTTTATGGAGGAATAGTACTGGTCAATGAAGTCCTTAGCCAAGAGGAGCAACTCCTCTTTTGTCCTGGTGTCTTCTGACTTATGGAGGTACTGGCCAGGCGTCATGACTGAGCCCATGCAGATCTGCTCGGTGCAGGCGGTGGCCTGAGGAGACAAACATGTCCTGGGTTCCTGCAAGACTCACCTTGGTTGGAAAAGACCTCCAAGATCATCAAGTCCAACCATCAACCCAACTCTGACAAGTCCTTAACTAAACCATGTCCCCAGGTACTAAGTCTCCATGACTCTCAAATCCCTCCAGGGATGGTGACTCCACCACTGCCCAGTTCCAGTGCCTCACAAGCCTTTTGGTGAGGAAATTCTTCCCAACATCCAACCTAAACCTCCCATGGGCAAACTTGAGGCCATTTTCTAAGGCAGCTCAAGCAGGTGCTGTCACATCTTGGCCCACCTGATATGGACAAATGGGGCTCCCTAGATCCTTCCCCCAGCTTGGCAGAAAGTCATGAACTTGCCCTGATTGATCCCAGATGACCTTCCTCCAACTCATCACACCTGAGCTTGGAAGTTCAGCCACTCCCGGAGACAAAAAGTCCTCCAGTTCTGCATTTCCACCTTGGAACCACTGCCATCCACTCCCTTCTGCTCAGACAACTTGTGGCCAGTCCTACCAACCCTACTCACCATGGCTGTCTTGAGGTGCAGGGTGTCATGGAGCACTGAGCCCGTCTCCCAGTTCCTGATTTTGACGAAACGGGGACATTTGGAAGGACTCCCATTCACTGTGCTCTTGGTTGGGGACTGTCTCCCAGATGGTGGTGGCTGGAGAACAGTGAAGAGCAGGCCCCAGGTTAGTATTCACCAGTGAGATATGGGGGGAAAGGTCCCAGCAACAAGGAGCATCTTGTGTCAGTGCTCAAGTCCTAGTGATAAAACCAGTGTGTGACCCATTTGGGGTCCTACCAGGGAGCAACCAACTCTCCATGTGATGGAGAAGTCACCTCTGGGTCCAGAGAAGCCAAACCTGTAGAAAAGGAGCTAAAAAGCAGAGATAGAGTGACTGAGAACATGGTGTTGAAGTTTCCCAGAGGAAGATTGACCTCCCCAAAACACATCAGGTGTTTCTTTCAAGTTTCTTTCAAGTTTCTTTCTGCTCAGGGTTGGCACGTGCCAGGCTCTGCTGACCTGGCTGATATGAGACAGAGCTGAGAGCTTCTCACCCCCCTGAGCAAGCCAAACTCTGCTGCCAACACTGGAAGGCTGGAGGGATAAGGATGGAGAAATCCTGCAGGTGGGAGAGCTGCTGAATCATGCATGGTTGGATCACCTTGGTCTCAGCTCCTGGTCTCCAACCCTGCCTGGTCCTCCTCGTCAGGGTGTGCTCCTCCAGCACATCTTCAGTTCCTCAGCCAGCAGAGAGCTTTGCAACCAGCCAGGCTGGCTGCAAGTGCCTGTCCTGGCACGTTTCCCCAGAAAACCTCTGCTCTTCCTACCCTTCTTCTCCTCAACCCCTTCAGATGACCAAGGACTATGTGTCTGCCCCGGGACAGCCAGATCCACAGCAGCCCTGGGGAGCTGAGAGGTTCCTTCTGGGGATGTAACTGGGGCACTGCAACCCCACCAGTGCTGCTGCAGGGTTCTAGGGGAGACCTGATTCCCCCCTACCCCAAAGTGTCCTCTCAAACCCTGCTGGTATTTGGCACCTCTTGAAGCTTCGTGCCCCTGCAGGGGAGATGGGGGCTTGGGCCAGGTTTTGGTGCAGCATTCCCACAGGAATCCTGTAGCTTGTGTCCCTTCCTGATCCACCCGTGAGGGTTTTAAGGACAGCACAGCCCTCAGCAGAGCTGTGCAGAGTCTCACCCTCCTGCTGGGTAGCTCAGGTGCCAGCACCAACCTGGTGCCCAGGACCCAGCTGAAGAAGAACCAGCACATGGGCAAGAAGCTCTTCTTTTAGAACAAGCACCTTCTGCTGATGAGCAGACCCAGGAGGGAGAAGAACAAGGGCCATGAAGATGGCAAAAAGCAGATGAACAGCTCCAACTTGCTCAGCTCTGCCAAGAGGATTGTCCTGCTCCTCTGACACAAGGAGAGATGGGTGGTGAGACTGATGCCCAGGCTGGGCAGACCCTGCTGCATTGCCCTGGTGACAGTGGTGGCCATACTTCTTTTGTTTTGCCCATTCCTTGCTTCTACCATATGCTCCACATATTGTTGTGGGGTTTTTTTCCTGGAAAATAAATATTTTGCTGTCAAGCAGCCTGGGGGGTCACAGTGGGACACCAGGCACCGAGAGCACACACCAGGAGCAAGAGACAGAGGACAGAGGAGAAGGGAGGGCTTGACAACCAGACCCCTTGGTAGGACCTTCTTTAGTGCTCAGTGTTTCCTGAAGCTGCTCCCTGCAAACCCTCAGGCTACGTTGTCACTGGGCTTGGTGACCTTTCTCCTGTCACAAACCCTGTGATCTTCCCAAGCCCCAGCTCCTGAAGCCACAGGAGCACCCAGTGGGTCTCAGCTTTCCCTTTCCATCCTGCAGAAAACAAAGACAAAACTTCATCCCCAGCAGTAAAGGAACCTCTGAGGTGTGATCTTGGAAAAAAAACCCACTGGTTTTCGATTCATTTTTTCCAGTTTTGGGGTATCTGACCTGAATTGCAGCAGTGCTTGGTTTGGTTTGTTTTCTGCTTGTTTTACACTTCCAGGAGAACCATTCCTGAGCATCCTGTGTCCTCTGAGCCACCCTTAGGATCAACAACAAGGAACAATCACCTGCCACCTTCCTCCTGAGGGGGATTGCTCAGAGCAGCTCTGTGAGAAGGGGAAACCACAGCTGAGACCTGCTCCTCCAGAATGCAAACAGACCCAACCCTCACCTGTACCAGAAACCAGAAGCACTGAGCAGAGGGTCTTGGTTGTCTCCAGCACCACCCCTTTTTTGATTCTGAAGGAGGTTTGATTTGCTGATGGGCACAGCCTGGGAGTTGTGCTGCCAACCAACCCCTTGCTGGAGCAGGTTTGGCCCAAGAGCACATTGCAAACCCCATCCTTGGAGTGATCAAGCTCCTGCTCCAAGCTGCTAGAACCTGCAGATGTTCTACCTTCAACCTCTCTCAAAGCTGCTCCCTTTTCTTTATTTTCATTTTTGCTTTTCCCTGCAGGAACAAGCAGAGTTGGAATCTTTCTGGAATCCCTCTGGATCCCTGGGATGCCAGCCAGGCTGGAGCAGCTGAGGTGACAGCACCTACAAGAAACTGAGGTGCCAGGTCTGGCAACAGCCTGGCAGAGCAGCTGTGGAGAGAACAACACCCAGAAGAAACTGGGGCAGAGCTCTGGGTGTCTGTGTGTGTGTGCGTGTGATGCCTTCCCTGCCTGGCAAAGCTGCAGCTCAATATTCCCCCCCTGGCTCTGTCAGGGAAGCTGTGCAAGCTCCTCTCATGGTTTAATTAGGCAGCTGTGATGGGAGTGACTCAGGAGTGGGACAAACAGAGAGAGGAACTCTCAGTCAGGGTGCACACGCATTATGGAACCAGCTTCTGCAGGGGAGGGGGTTGGCACTTGGTGAAAGCTCCTGCAGGGCCAGGGGAGAAACCCACCCGGGTGCTCCTTGGGGCCTGCAGGGCAGGGAACATCTCCCTTTCTGGCACATTCCTGGGGGCTCAACGTGTCCTCAGCTCCCCTGCAGGGCTGGCACACACTGCCCTGCTGGAACGCAGGGACTGCAGGAGGAGAAGGTCTGCAGCACCAGCCCAGCTCCATGGGCACGCTGACATTTCCTCCCAGGCTGCATTAACCCCTCTGGCTGGAAGTGTGGATTTCACTTTTACAATGCTGTAAATCATCCTCACAAGTCGCCACAGTTCCCTGCTCCCTGCTTGCTACGTGGACACAAACACCCTCTGGTTGCCCTGGAGCTCCTAACAAATCAATCCATACATGAAGCATGAGCTGTGCAGGACCTGGGCTGCTGCACCCAGCACCTTCCATCAGTCACTTGTGGGAGCAGGGGCACTGGGAAACCAGCCAAGCACACTGGGGGAGTGCAAAGAGAGGGAAAAGGAAGGAAGGAAGGAAGGAAGGAAGGAAGGAAGGAAGGAAGGAAGGAAGGAAGGAAGGAAGGAAGGAAGGAAGGAAGGAAGGAAGGAAGGAAGGAAGGAAGGAAGGAAGGAAGGAAGGAAGGAAGGAAGGAAGGAAGGAAGGAAGGAAGGAAGGAAGGAAGGAAGGAAGGAAGGAAGGAAGGAAGGAAGGAAGGAAGGAAGAAAGAAAGAAAGAAAGAAAGAAAGAAAGAAAGAAAGAAAGAAAGAAAGAAAGAAAGAAAGAAAGAAAGAAAGAAAGAAAGAAAGAAAGAAAGAAAGAAAGAAAGAAAGAAAGAAAGAAAGAAAGAAAGAAAGAAAGAAAGAAAGAAAGAAAGAAAGAAAGAAAGAAAGAAAGAAAGAAAGAAAGAAAGAAAGAAAGAAAGAAAGAAAGAAAGAAAGAAAGAAAGAAAGAAAGAAAGAAAGAAAGAAAGAAAGAAAGAAAGAAAGAAAGAAAGAAAGAAAGAAAAAGAAAAAGAAAGAAAGAAAGAAAGAAAGAAAGGAAGAAAGGAAGGAAGGGGTAGGGATTGATGCCCAACAGATTTTTAGCACCTCATAAGAAACCTCTGAGCCAAGTGAACCCACTGAATCCTGCTGGAAAAAAATCAGGTGGATAAAGAGCTCCTGCCTGGCTCCAGTCACCCCAGTGTTAACAGGATTTCTTGCAGCTTGCAAGGAGTTCAGCTGCCTTGACCACTTGAAACCCAGGGGAAGAGCTGCAGGGAATGTTGGGGGGGGAGAAACCACAAACCAAACTGGCAGCAGAAGAGCAGGCAAACCCATCTGGGGATCAGAAGGATCAAACACAAGCTGCACAGCTAGTGAGAAAAGTATTAAAGGGTTTAATAGCAGCTTAAGAGCAGGGGGTTTTGGCAGCCCCACCACAGAGAGGAGTTAAGCTCTGAACACAGAAGGTTAGAAAGTGCTTGTAGGAACAGGCACGTCCGTGCAAAGAGCTTTGCAGAGGAGGGAGGAACCATCTCTGTCCAAACCTGGGGCAAAGGGACCCGAGCAGTGACCTGTCCTTGGGCAAAACAGGCTCCTGAGACCTGCCAGAGTGTGTTAACTGCATGGAGGGCCTTGGGGCTGCCTGGGGACATCTCTCCAGCAGCTGAGGGAAGTGTGGTGCAGCTCTTGGACACAGCAGCCTGTGTGTGCTGCTGGAGGTGGGACCCACCACGGGGGTGGCTGGGCTGCTGGAGGACCAGGCTGCAGGTCAGGCAAAGGGAGGGTGGAAGTTGCTCCCAGTTGCTTCTGAGCACCCAAGTGGGTTGGTTAAAACCATGCAGCAAGTCTGGCGTGGTCAGGAGGGTCTCGGGCACCCCGAGTGGGTGCATCAGCACCCACGTGGTGGGTCTCAGGTGTCCCGTGAGCCTCCAACACCGTGGGTGCTGCACAAGTGCACGTGAATATCTTCCTGCTCAGGACTCCCAGGAGAACAATTCCAAGCCCCAGCCCTGGAGGTGTTCAAGGCCAGGTTGGATGAGCCACCTGATCTAGTGGGAGGTGTCCCTGCCAGTGCAGGGGGGGTGGAATTCAATGATTGTTAAGGTCCCTTCCAATCCAAACCATTCTATGAGGAACAACAACCTTCCTGGCACAGGGGGAAGGAGAGTTAAACCACCACAGCCAAGCCCATGTCACCTCCATGGGCATGAAGGGACCATGTCACCTCATGGGACCCCACCCCTGCTTCTGGCATCTTGAGAGATGCCCATGAAATGGGAGAGCATCCCCTGGCAGAGCCCTGGCCTGGGAGCTGCTGCTGGACACTGCTGGGCCAGGCTCAACATCTGGGTGGCAACTACACCCTGAATGTCACCCACCCTGCCACACTCTGCCTGTGCCATGGCAGTGAGGACACAGCCCCTTGGAGCTGGGAGGAGGCACCAGCCAGAGGTATCATTCCAGAGCTGAGGAAACCCTGCTTTTCTCACAAGTCTTCCCATGGCCACTAAATCCCCCTCTCCCTTGGAAAACAGTCCTTACCACGTCACCCTGAGAGCTCTGCTGGGACAAGGAGCCCAAATGGTCCCCAGACTGGTCCCCTGTGTCCTTCCCTGGTTAATCCCATCAAGGAGAGATGCTTGCTTGGGCAGGCTTGGCAGTGCTCACACATGGTGTGTCTGCCCTGAGGAGCCCTTCGTGGCCTGGCAGGGGCTGCCTTAGGTCTCTGGCTTTGCTGCAGGCGTGGAGCTCATCCACTCTTGGCAGGGAAGCCTGAGGATTGATGTCTGTGGAGCGTGAGGAGATGAAAAGGCACCGTGCAACATCTCCTCTGAAGTGCCCTGTTGAATCACCACCCTGTGGAGCTAAACGACTTGAACGATGGGATTTGGCTTTTTGCCACCAAAAGGGACATCAGAGCAGGGAGAGGTTTCAGAGTCCTGGTTCCTGGCTCTGCTCCTGTCCTACTCTGGCCTGCTGGATGAAGGACATTGTTTTCCAGTGACCTATGTCCTGCCTGAACCACAAGGAATTCAGCTTCTGGACCAAGTTGGCTCTACACCCCATCGACTCCTTGGGATCAAAGGTCTTCAGGACAGTGCAGGTTGTTCTTGCAGCTTCTCCGTGGTGTGTGAGCTCCCCAGAATGGGTCACATAGCAGAAGAGCAGGCAAACCCATCTGGGGATCAGAAGGATCAAACACAAGCTGCACAGCTAGTGAGAAAAGTATTAAAGGGTTTAATAGCAGCTTAAGAGCAGGGGGTTTTGGCAGCCCCACCACAGAGAGGAGTTAAGCTCTGAACACAGAAGGTTAGAAAGTGCTTGTAGGAACAGGCACGTCCGTGCAAAGAGCTTTGCAGAGGAGGGAGGAACCATCTCTGTCCAAACCTGGGGCAAAGGGACCCGAGCAGTGACCTGTCCTTGGGCAAAACAGGCTCCTGAGACCTGCCAGAGTGTGTTAACTGCATGGAGGGCCTTGGGGCTGCCTGGGGACATCTCTCCAGCAGCTGAGGGAAGTGTGGTGCAGCTCTTGGACACAGCAGCCTGTGTGTGCTGCTGGAGGTGGGACCCACCACGGGGGTGGCTGGGCTGCTGGAGGACCAGGCTGCAGGTCAGGCAAAGGGAGGGTGGAAGTTGCTCCCAGTTGCTTCTGAGCACCCAAGTGGGTTGGTTAAAACCATGCAGCAAGTCTGGCGTGGTCAGGAGGGTCTCGGGCACCCCGAGTGGGTGCATCAGCACCCACGTGGTGGGTCTCAGGTGTCCCGTGAGCCTCCAACACCGTGGGTGCTGCACAAGTGCACGTGAATATCTTCCTGCTCAGGACTCCCAGGAGAACAATTCCAAGCCCCAGCCCTGGAGGTGTTCAAGGCCAGGTTGGATGAGCCACCTGATCTAGTGGGAGGTGTCCCTGCCAGTGCAGGGGGGGTGGAATTCAATGATTGTTAAGGTCCCTTCCAATCCAAACCATTCTATGAGGAACAACAACCTTCCTGGCACAGGGGGAAGGAGAGTTAAACCACCACAGCCAAGCCCATGTCACCTCCATGGGCATGAAGGGACCATGTCACCTCATGGGACCCCACCCCTGCTTCTGGCATCTTGAGAGATGCCCATGAAATGGGAGAGCATCCCCTGGCAGAGCCCTGGCCTGGGAGCTGCTGCTGGACACTGCTGGGCCAGGCTCAACATCTGGGTGGCAACTACACCCTGAATGTCACCCACCCTGCCACACTCTGCCTGTGCCATGGCAATGAGGACACAGCCCCTTGGAGCTGGGAGGAGGCACCAGCCAGAGGTATCATTCCAGAGCTGAGGAAACCCTGCTTTTCTCACAAGTCTTCCCATGGCCACTAAATCCCCCTCTCCCTTGGAAAACAGTCCTTACCACGTCACCCTGAGAGCTCTGCTGGGACAAGGAGCCCAAATGGTCCCCAGACTGGTCCCCTGTGTCCTTCCCTGGTTAATCCCATCAAGGAGAGATGCTTGCTTGGGCAGGCTTGGCAGTGCTCACACATGGTGTGTCTGCCCTGAGGAGCCCTTCGTGGCCTGGCAGGGGCTGCCTTAGGTCTCTGGCTTTGCTGCAGGCGTGGAGCTCATCCACTCTTGGCAGGGAAGCCTGAGGATTGATGTCTGTGGAGCGTGAGGAGATGAAAAGGCACCGTGCAACATCTCCTCTGAAGTGCCCTGTTGAATCACCACCCTGTGGAGCTAAACGACTTGAACGATGGGATTTGGCTTTTTGCCACCAAAAGGGACATCAGAGCAGGGAGAGGTTTCAGAGTCCTGGTTCCTGGCTCTGCTCCTGTCCTACTCTGGCCTGCTGGATGAAGGACATTGTTTTCCAGTGACCTATGTCCTGCCTGAACCACAAGGAATTCAGCTTCTGGACCAAGTTGGCTCTACACCCCATCGACTCCTTGGGATCAAAGGTCTTCAGGACAGTGCAGGTTGTTCTTGCAGCTTCTCCGTGGTGTGTGAGCTCCCCAGAATGGGTCACATACCCCTAAACCCCCTCCCCACCCAAAGCAGACCAAGCCATGAGCTCTTACCTGCTCTGCTTCAGAGTAGGGGTTGTTCAGGACCACGGGCACGTTGCTCTTCCCCCACAGGTCACCCAGGACACGGTCGTTCTCCATCTGAGGTGGGAGGGCTTTCTGAGGTTTGTTTTCCCCTTCCCTGAAACTGAAGGGTTAAACACCATTTGGGGGTCAGTGCTGGGGACCACAGGGCTGGAGTGAAGCCTCCAGGACCTGCTCCAGCTGCTTCCCACAGGGCTGGGAACTCACAGGTAACCCTGAGGGTTGGGAGGAAACGCTGGGTTGAGGTGATGGGTCACAGTGGTGAGGGGAACACAAACACCAGGGCAACTTGGAACACAGTGCCTGCAAAACTGACAGGAGACCCCTGCCCCAACACTGCTTCACCTGGGCTTGCACACCAGACCTTCTGCTCCCCCCCAAAAAATACCCCTGCAAAAGCAAGCAGGGAGCTGGGGACAGGAGAGCTGCACACACCTCCAGCTGCAAGACCTTGTGGCACAACCTCATGGAAAACCCCCCCTGGAAAGACCCTCCAGGTTGGCAGAGCAGCTTGGGTTTTATGAGCAGAGGAGAAGAAAACAAACCCAAGGCAAAAGATGTGGCTCCCAGGAGGGAAGAGACATTTCTCTCTTCTCTTCCTGACCTTTAAGCTGCTGCAAGTGCTGGCAAAGTGTGAGTGATGATCCTCAAGCCAACTGGGGGATTGTCCTCCTGGAGCTGGGACACTGGCAGGGGTGGGGGGCTGAGGGTGTCCCCCCTGCCCTGCACTGAGAGGCTGGTGACCTGGACACCTTCCCAACCTGGGTTGCCTTAGGGTGGAAGTGGCCAGTTTGGTGCAAGAGAGGAGGAGCAGTTGGCATCAGGGAAGGTTTTAGGGGGGTTTTGATGTCCTGTCCACCTCCCTCCTCCACACATGAGAAAAGGAACCTCTTCTTCTGTGACTTGGCTCCTACAAATAGTTGGAAGGGCTTCAATCAGATAAACAACCAGGAACTCCACCCATCACACCAGCAGCCAAAGACAACAGGTCCTGGTGCTCTGCTACTGCCAGGAGGACTCTGAAGGTCCCAGGGCTGGGGACAATCAGGAACCAAACACTCTGCCCTTCTCCAGCCCATCCAAAGGGAACCTCAGGTTCTCAACATGTCCAGCCTTCCTCCATCTAGAGAATTCCCAGCAGGAAGGTGGAGAATTAGCAGGATGAAATTCAACAGATCTGGCTTTTCCTCTTAAGTCAAGACCAGCTATTAAACCTCCTAGAGAACATTGATTTCCAGGGCTGCACATCCCTGTCCTCTTGCCCTGAAGCCCATCATATCAGGGGGAGTGGAAACAGGTCAACATGGACCTGCTGGGCACATGAAATGAGCCACCTCTTGTAGCTGATGAACCCCAACGAGCTGCTCCCCATAAGTAGCCCAAAACCAAGACACAAGCACTAAATTCTGAAGGCAATAGAAGAAATCCCTCAACTTTCCCACTGCCTGGGACTTGGCAGGGGGAATCTGCCTTCCGAGGGACCATGGCAGATCTCCAGGGGCACACACCTTGGGCCAGGATCCCAGAGTGCCAGACATCCCACAGGCACCTCCCAAATGCCTCTGAGATACACCTGGAGGAGCCTGGCACGACCTGCTGCTTCCAGGAAGGTGTTTGCAAACCCATCTACATGGGCATCTCTGGCATGAGGAAAGCTCAGAAGAGGAATCCATCCATCCATCCATCCCTCCATCCATCCATCCATCCATCCATCCATCCATCCATCCATCCATCCATCCATCCATCCATCCATCCATCCATCCATCCATCCATCCATCCATCCATCCATCCATCCATCCATCCATCCATCCATCCATCCATCCATCCATCCATCCATCCATCCATCCATCCATCCATCCATCCATCCATCCATCCATCCATCCATCCATCCATCCATCCATCCATCCATCCATCCATCCATCCATCCATCCATCCATCCATCCATCCATCCATCCATCCATCCATCCATCCATCCTCCAGCAGCAGCAGCAGGTCTCAGCCTGGAGGTTGGACATGTCATCCCACTGCCTCCATATCAGCAAGGCCAGAAGGGCTGATACCTCTGCCAGCAGCAGGAGAAGGAGCAGATGCTTGAATGAAGTCACCCCTGTAGTTGGCTACTTTGTGTAGTCCAAGTGTTGCTGGAGGGGGGTCCTGTTCCCACCACCACCCAGCAGCAGGGTCTCCTGGCCTGAGGAGCAGTGAAGTCCAGGTAGGCATGATGGAAGAAGGGGGAATGGCTTCAAACTGGCAGAGGGGAGATTGAGGTTGGACATGAGGAGGGAATTCTTTGCTGTGAGGGTGGTGAGAGCCTGGCCCAGGTTGCCCAGGGAAGCTGTGGCTGCCCCATCCCTGGCAGTGTTGAAGGGCAGGTTGGATGGGGCTTGGAGCAACCTGGGCTGGTGGGAGGTGTCCCTGCCCATGCAGGGGGGTTGGATCTAGATGATCTTTAAGTTCCTTCCAACTCAAACCATTCTCTGCTCCTCTGGGTTTGTGTGGGCTGAGGAGGTGGGTCCCAGGGCAGGCTGGGGTTGCCTGGCCCTGCCCAGACCTCCCCAGGATCAGGCTTCCTAGAAATATCTGGCTCTGCCTTTTGGAGAGAGGCAGGGAGAGAAAAAACAAAGCCCATTCAGAGCAGGCACAGCCTCCCCCCAGATGGGGTGGGGGATGGAGGCTGGCAATTCAAAACAAATGAAATTGCTTCATTTTGCAAATATTTCCTGCCTGTTTCTTGTGCCTGCTCTGTGTTCCAGCTGGGGCAGGAGTGGGGGCTCTGGGGTCACTTGGTTTCCTCTCTTGACTTGGCTTCCCCTGGCACCAGCAGAGGCACAGGGTGACCTGTTCACATGAGGCCATCACTCAACACTCCCAGAGCCTGGCAGGGTGGCCTGAACACCCAACCCCAGCTCAGCCTCCAGACTTCCAGAAGTTCCCCAGCACAGGAGAACCCAAAGGGGTGTCTGGTGGGTGATGGGGAGGGTGTGATCCCCCAGGTGGGGGGTTGAGGCAGCCAGGCTGGGTTCCTAGCAGCCTTTGAAGAAATCCTGCCCATTCAACAATCAGACTTTTAAAGTCCCCACATTAGTGTCTTGGAGGTGTTGGAACCAGTGCTTGGAGATGCTTGTTTGGCTGATGGGCCCAAGGATCCAGAGATCCCTCTCTGACCTGCTCCTGCAGCCAGATCCCTCCAACACTATCACTCTTGAATCACCTCCCTTTGGGAAGAGACCCAGTTTGAGCTCATCTTCTGCTCTGCAAGCCAAATGTGGTGGTTAAAAAGAGACAGAGGATCCCTGCCCTCCCCCCTTGGATGCTGCCTCACCTCGGGTGGAGCATCTGGCTGCTTGGAGACACGAGAGGCACCACTGGTTTCTTTTGACTAATCTGATGATGTTGCAATGCTCCCAGGGATGAGGCAGAAGGGAAGTTGCTGAGACAGCCCTTTGAGAAATTTCTCCAAAGCTTTTCCAAAAGGAAAGGAAGAAAAAAAACAAACCACCACAACAAAAATAAAGTCTGTCACTTTTTGCTCCTCTGCATCTGCCTGGCTCGAGTTCTCCAGCTGGGATGAGCGATGCCAGGAGGTGCTGTCCTCCCCAGGGACAGCTTGGGATGAGCTGGTGAGGTTGTCCATGCCCACCCTTCCATGCTGGGGAGCCAACAGCAGCCCCCAGTGCTGTGACTGTAGGGACAGACCCCTTGGGTCCTTGTCCCAGTGGCTGAAATCTCTATTCTTGAGCTCAGGGCTGTGTGGGACACACGGACACGTCCTGCTCCCTCTGAGCTTCGCCAGAGAAGTTCCTTCTTTTTTATCTTCTCCTCTCCTGTGTGGCCCTGGAGGTGGCTGGAGGCTCCATCTTTCCTTTGCCACAAGGAAAACTGTGCTCCAGAAGGCACTGCATCCTGAGGAGTTAATAATTCCTTGCTTTTGTGTCCCTGGAGCAGCTTTGGAAGGGGTGGTGGCTGCAGGTTCCTGGCAAGGGCTGGCACAGGAACAGGGCTCAAGGGAGGGGCAGGAGAAGGGATGAGGCAGGAGCTGGAATTTTCAGGAGTAGACCAGAGGTCAGGAAGGAATTTGGAATGCTGCAACCTGAAGGAATAACTCCAAAGGATGGGATGAGCTCTCTGGAGCAGGCAGTGACACCAGCATGCCTGGAGCAGGCAGCTGCAGAGTAATGAAAGCAAGAAACCATTTCCTAAGTCATAGACTCATAGTCTGGTTTGGGTTGGAAGAGACCTTAGAGACCATCCAGATCCAACCCCCTGCATGGGCAGGGACACCTCCCACCTGCCTAGGTTGCTCCAAGCGCCATCCAACATGCCCTTCAACACTGCCAGGGATGGGGCAGCCACAGCTTCTCTGGGCAACCTGGGCCAGGCTCTCACCACCCTCACAGCAAAGAATTCCCTCCTCATGTCTAAATGTGGGAGAGGAGCTTGGGGACAACAGCCTCATTGACAAGCACAAGACATGGCTTGGAGAAGGTCCTGTACCCTGAGGTCAGAGCTGGGATTAGAAACCAATGAGCCAAGGAATGAGTGGGGTTCAGATCTGCCCAGAGAGCACAAGAGGCCACGAGAAGAACTAACCCATGGAATTCAGGCAGCAGGATGAGTGGACAAAGGGTGCTTGGGAAACTGGTCCAAGAGGGCTTCACAGGGGGGATATTTAGGTGGAATGTGTTGTTTGGAGGCACAAAATGCCTCTCTGATGTAGTCAGTGATGAGGAAGAAGAATGTCCTGAGGGAGAAGGGGAGGGTTGGTCACTGCCAACTTGGCAAAAACTGTCATGTGGAGCAGCAGCAACACCAGCATCTCAGGGAAGTTTCATGTCCAAGTGGAGCATAATGAAGACATCAGAAATGCAAATGAAATGTTTGGAGCCACAGAAAGAGATTTTTTTTCATGGCAGCAAAGGAGGTGGGAGGAAGAGAATTTGCTCTTCCAGAGCTGAAAAATTAGGGGGTTTGTTCCATTGCAGGATGGAGCCTGAAACCCTGAAACCCTGCAGGAACAGAACTCCTGCTCTCAGCACAACCCCCCTTCTCAGGGCTGCTGATGCTGCTTTTTTGAATTGTTTGGACCAACCCTGCCATGTTTCCATCATGCTGCTCATGTTGTGGAATAGACCTGAGGAGAAAAATAAATACTGGCAACTCGATGGCAGGGGGTGGGGGGAGAGGGAGGGAAGATGGGACATGACAATCTCTGTAGAGCTCAGAGGGAAAAGCAGACCTAGGTTAGCTGGCAGGGAGTGAATCAAGCTCTATTTTTGTTTTCTAGCCCCTGGTGAGCCCTGTGGCAGAACTGCCAGCTCTCATCATACCTTGTGCCCCACGTCTGGGCTCGGATTTATGATCGACTTCCCCACAAATGGCTTGAGCTGAGGAGCAGAGATTCAGCTCTGCTCACAGCCCATCCCTTGGACCTCAGGCACTTTGCAGCTGGAAATCAGCAAGGAGCACAATCCAGGTCCTTGCAGGGACAACTTCCCCCAGGGATTGCTTGCAGGGATGGAGATGAACTGATCTTTTGCCCCTCCATGCAAACATCCCAGTTTCCAGTTTGCTCTGCAGGTGCCACAGGCTGGAAGCCCAAAGCATCAGGTGTGATTGGAACAGCTTTTGGCAAAGCCCACCTTGAACAAGAAGGGGTTGGCTCCTTGGGAACAACCTTGGAGTTGTCCCATTCCTCTGCCCTGGGAAAGCTGTCCCAGCTCTGGCCAGCCAGACTGGCTGTGACAAGGGCAGCACCAGGAGAAGAGTGAGACAGAGCAGGTCCTGATGACCAGCAGCTCCAGCTGGATCAGTGGTCAAGCAGTCCAGGAGGGATTGAGCTCAACTTTGTAGCTTCCTGGATTCAAGGTGGAGCTCTAGTCCTGTTTTGACTGATGCCAGCTTTGCTCACTCTCCCCAGGCCAGGAGAAGTCCCAGCCTACAGCCTCAGAGCTGCATCAACCCCATCAATCTTCCTTCCTTTATATTTTTGGGGGGCATTTCTTTAGCATCTACCAACAGTCTCCATGCTTGTCTGCTCCCCATTGCTGCCTGACCTTTCTGCACTTCTATGGACCAAGAAAACTTGCAGACCAGACCTTCACAATGCCCCAGCTCTGTCTGAGACCAAACAGAGGAGATGAATCATCTCCAACACATCTCAGGAGTGGGAGGAGAGGTGGCTGAGAGGTGCCCTTTACCCTGCAGAGCTGCTCTCCAACATTTTCCCTGCAGTTTATCTCCTTCCCCACATCTCTCCCCTCCAGCTCAGGTCTTCTCCCTCATACAGAGCCCTCCTTGCAAGGGCAAAGCTGCAGCTTTTTCATCAAGCAGAAGATTGAAGACTCATTTTCACACAAAAAGATGGATTTTCAGTCCCAAGGTACATGGATTAGTGGGGTTTTTAAAAGAACATTGAAAAATAAAGTGAGTGGAGTTTGGGTGAAGCAGCTCCTGGTTTGAGGTCCTTCAGTTTAAGTGGGTTCCAAGTGTTTCAGTTTAATCTCTTTACGAGCAAAACAGACTCCTCCAAGAAAGAAAAAAACACCACATTTTTCATCCTTTCCCCCAGCAGGAGTAGAATTTCCTTGGAGAACCAGCAGTTGATGGGATGGGGACACTGGGGGGGACAGTTTGAGGGGTGAGTCTGTGCTTTGTGCCACCACTTGGGATTGTGTCCCTCTGGGGGCTTCCCCAAACTGTTCCCCCAGCTCCACTGCAGCAGTTTTAGCACAAACAGAAGGACAGGGGAGATTGTTAAAGCCCCCCTCTGCATTTTGTTGGACCTGGGGTCAAGCACAACCCCTTCAAGGTCTTAGTTCTTTGGTTGCTCAAGGGGTTAAATCACCTCTTCTTGCGCAGCAGGGACCAAACACGAGGGTTTCAGAAGCATTCAAAGGTGCTGAGACTCAGAGGACATCAGGAAGGGATGTCCCCAGGCATGACCCATCTCACCACTCCTCATTAGATGTTTCCCACCCACCACCAGCCCCCAGATGAGCTGGTTTTTGTTCCTCTGATTCCCTGTGACCACCCCGACGGGCTTGGGGCGACCGTGTCTTCCATGGGACAAACACAACTTGGGAGGGAGCAGAAGCAACAGCACAAAACCTACCAACATGAAAGAGAAACAAACCCAGAAAATGGGAAACAAGCAGCGTGGGTGTTGGGTTGTGCTGGGAGCAATGAGGAGCTCAGCCCAGGCTCAGGAGCCACTAGTGAAATCATAGAATCATCCAGGTTGGAAGGGACCTCAAAGCTCACCCAGCTCCAGCCCCCCTGCCATGAGCAGGAACCACCAGACCAGGTGGCACAAACCTCCTCCAACCTGGCCTTAAAACCCTCCAGGGATGGGGCATCAACAGCCTCCCTGGGCAGCCCATCCCAGTTCCTCCCCACCCTGAGAGTGGAGAATTTCTTCCTCATCTCTCACCTCAATCTCCCCTCTCTCAGTTTAAAACCATCACCCCTGGTCCTGTCACTGTCTGATCTGTTGAAAAGTCCCTCCCCAGCTTTCCTGGAGCCCCTTCAGGCACTGGAAGCTGCTCTCAGGTCTCCCTGGAGCCTTCTCTTCTCCAGGCTGAACACCCCAACTCTCCCAGCCTGGCTCCAGAGCTGCTCCAGCCCTTGGAGCACCTTGGCCCTTCTCTGGCCCCTCTCCAACAGCTCTAGATCTTCCCTGTGCTGAGGGCCCCAGAGCTGGACACATCACTCCAGGGGGGCTCTGAGCAGAGCAGAGGGGCAGGATCCCCCCCTGGCCCTGCTGCCCACACTTCTCTGCCTGCATTCCCTCAATTGATGGATACCAGAAATCCTGCTCCTCTGCAGCCACCAGCTCTGCCTTGGCCCTCTCCTTCAGATCAAACAAATCTCTTATTTTGAAATTATTTTCCCCCTCTTTAAGGAATCAGGTGGAACAAGGGAACGGGAAGGTACAGATCCCAGGTTGCTGAACTCAGATCATCAGCTTCAGTGAACCCTCCTAAAAAGCCCAGCCCATCAGTGACCAAGAGCAGCCAGAACCTGCTCCAGCCCCTGCCACTGCTCAGATGTGGTCAGGGACTTGGGGAAAGGCAACAGGAAAAATGACTTGTGATGGGTAATAAAGAACCAAGAGGTGAAGGAACCAGCACCAAAAGTAGGAGCTCCCAAGGGGGTTCTGGCCAAGCAGGATGGGCTGCAGGGAACTGCTCCCCCTGCACCTCAGGGAAGTGCCCAGGAAGGTCAGGGGGGCAACACCACACACCCCTGGCCCTGTGCAGAGGGAGATATTGGGCATGAAGTTGTCCCACCCACGTGATGGGACTTCACCCCCCTCAAGAAGCCCCATCCTCCTTCTACCTGTGGGTGGCAATAATTACCCAGGTCAAGAAGCAGCAGAGGGTCCATCAGGCAGCTCTGCTGGTGGGTTTCAACAGGGGATGGGCTGTTCCTGAGCTCTCCATGGGCAACATCCCCCTCTTCCCAGGAGACAGGAGCACCCAAGGCAGGTTGCCTCACACAGAGGTCCCCTTGGCTGCCTGGAGCTCCTCTCTCCCCTCCCCAAAGCCAGACCCTCACAGCTAAAAGCACAGAAGGTTTTGAACCTCCTTTCTCCTGGGAAGCTCAGACCTTTCTTCCTCTTGGGCATCAAAACAGAATAGCAAGGGCAGCCAATGCCAGAAATCTGCTTTCACAGGTGAGGAAACTGAGGCAGGGGATTTTGTTTAAACGTACAACAAATGAGATTCCAAACACAGCACAGAAATCCCAACCCAGCTCGGGATCCACCAGATCTCATAGCTCCACCTCCCACGAGATGTGACTCCTGCTGTCTGCCCCACCTCCCACACTCACATCTCCCCTTCCTTCCACCATCTACTCCCCATTTTTCAATTATTTTCTCTTCCCTTCACCATCTTCTTCCCCTCACCTTTTTTTTTTGCTTTGCAGCCCTTCCTCTCCACCTCCCTCCCACCACCTCAGACAACAACCCCTTCTGGAGAGGTGCCCACCCACACCTGAACCAACCACACCGAGCAGCCCAAACCAACACATTTCACCAAATATTAAAAATAACAACAAAGAAATAGGTATTTAGGGACCTACCAGTCCACCTGGACTTCTATATCCCTTGTCTCTACCTTGGAGGGTGCATCTCCATCGCTGTCCTTACTGCTGCTCTTCAGCAGATCCAGGATGGGCTCGATTTCTTTGAGCAGTTCATTGTCCTCCACCCCACCATTCAGGCAAGGGTGACCACGAGCCCCCTCCTTCCCCTTCCCAGCATCCTGCCCTTTGCTGCTGGTGACTACCCCATTGAGGTGGACCATGGGCTCCACCTCCCTCCCCACCTCCCTTGTCCACAGGGAGCCCATGGCGCGCGGGGCGGTCGGCGCCGGCTGCTCTTTGCCGTGCGGGCTGGGGTTGGACAAGTCGACCACCTTGGGGGTCGGGCAGAGGGGTCTGGTGACACGGATGGTTTTGGGGGTCCCGTCGCCTGCAAAAGTGGTCTCCAGGTGAGTGGTGAAGCCCTCGGGGCCCCGCAGGATCAGAACCACGTACGTCTCGGAAGCGACGCTTCTCAGGATCTCCAGCGCGCTCTCGTAGCTGGTGTCCACCAGGGGCCTGCCATTGACTGCTAAAATGATGTCTCCAGCCTGGATGAGGCCACTCTGCTCTGCAGCCCCTCCCCGGATCAGGTCGGAGATGATGACAGGGGGTTTGCTGACCCTCTCCTTCACCAGGAAACCCAGGCCGCCCACCTTGCGCTTGAAGAGCCTCACCGAGATGACGTTGGGCTGGATCTGCTGCACACTGAACACATTCTCTTCCATGGCAGCCCCCACCTCTTCCAGCCTGCAGGACCAGGACCTCCACACCCTCTTGAAGGTGGAGAAATTCACCCCTGGAGATGTTGCTCCAAGCTGGGGAGGGGATGGGGTGACTCTTGGGGATGGAAGGGATGGGTTTCACTGCAAACCTCCCGTGGGCTGGGGCTGCAGCCTGGCTGTCTGCAGCATGTCCCTGCTGCCTGGCTCCCAAAATGCAGCCCAGGGGGGGGGTCACCAGTGGAGAGGAAGGCTCCTGGCAGGACTGGGCATTGCAGGAGCTGGAGGGGGCAACATGCCAGCTGCTGGTCAGGCTCTGGTCCTGCGCGGGGCAGAGGAGGGCACTGGTGTCACCAGCATCCCAGCAAACACTCCAGTGGTGGCTTTAGCTGGAAGAGAAGGGGAAAAAAAACAACAGCAACATGACAAAGGAGGAAGAGAAGTGAGACAAGGCAGGTTTGAAGCAGGCTCAGCCCATCACAGCCCCCCCAGGTGTCACCCCCAGGCTGCCCTGGGGAGACAGGCTGAGCCTCCCAGAACTCTCACCTTGGTTCCCTCTGAAAAGCAGCAGCATCTGTTTGGTGGGGGCTGGGAAAGGAGGGGGAGAGAGCAGGGGGCAGCCCTGGGAAGGAGCTGCTGGGCAGCTGGGCTCCCAGCCTCCTGCTTCACCAGCACAAACAGCAGCACGAGTGGGTCTGGCTCACCCCGTGGTGATTTCTGCCCCCTGAGGGTCTGGTCTCCACTTGTTTTCCAGAGAGTCCTACAACCTGATGGTTGAGATGGATCCCAGTGACCAGCCAGGGGACAGATGCCCCTCTCTGGGATGAAACCCATCCCAGAGGTGCTGTCACTCCAAGCCCTTTCTGATGCTTTCAACAAGCCCCCAGCAACATGAGGACACTGAGCTCCCCTCAGCCCCAGTTCCAGCAAAGCCCTGATGGTGGGAAGTGCTTTAAGGCTGGATGAAGGGCCCACAGCCCCAGCTCCTCCTCTCCATCCTGACCCAGGGACCCCCCCCCAGGCCCAGCCCTGCCAGCAGCTCCCCACCAAACTGCTGCAGCTGGTGGAAAAGCACCCAGAGGAGGACGTGCCATGAGTTTACCCAGCTCTCAGGGGAACCTCATCCAGCTGGGCATGACTTTGTACAGCCCTCGTGTGGCTCAGGGAGCCACGTCTCATTGACTCCTGATGGGACCCTGGTTCCAAGATGCCCACGCTGGTGTTTGGTAACTTCAGCTCCCAAAGTCTCTCCACGTTCCCTTCCCATTTCTTAGATGCTCTGGAGAAGGTTGCTCTTCCAGAACCATGCCCTGACATTTAGCACAAAGCTGAGCTGCAGATGCCTTCATTTCTTCTGTCAGTTTGGATTTGGGGGAAAGCACAGAGGGCATGAGACCTGCAGGCTGGAAGCCATGGAAAACATTCTCCTGGCTCCTGGCAGCACATCCAGGGCAGCCTCTGCACCTCCAGACCCTGAGCTCCCCTCTGCCAGGACCTGGCTGGGAAAAGCAGGGATCTGAGGAGCAGGGCAGAGACACCAGCCCTGGCATTAACTCACTTGAGCATTTTAATCCTGCTGTGACGAGGGCTGCTGACCTCGGGCTGGCTTTGGGCAGGAGAATAAAGAGTAAAGCAATTAGAGGCCGACAGCCCCAGCAATGGGTTTAACCCCTCGGGCCCTTCTCCTGCCCTGACTCAGCCCTGCAGGGCAGCAGCAGCATGCAAAGGGTTAAATGCCACCTGGGGAGGTGGTCACCTCCCCAAGGGCTTATTAACCCTGGTGACATAAACCCTGATTGCTTCCCAACAAGTGGTCCTGGCTTGAGGTCCTGGGAGAGGGGCTGTGTCACCTCGTGGGCTGGGGACAGCAGCGCAGGACATCTCCAGGCCCTCAGCCCAGCTGGGGAGAGAAGGTCCCACCTTTGGGGAGGATTCAGGGAAGGTCCCACCTTTGGGGAGGATTCAGGGAAGGTGACATCTTCAGGGACGATTCAGGAAAGCAGAGATCTGCTTCTACAGGGAAGGTGCTGACCCTCCTTCCTTTCCAGCCCCTCCATCCCCTCCCTGGCCAGATCCTGCTTTCACCAGCAGTGCTGGACACAGTCAGACCCTGCTTGAGTGTTTCTGCTCTCTGTCAGGTTCCTTGGTACCAGTTCCAGACCACAGGACCTGTTTCCTCCTCCCTGCCCAGGCTCTGCCCTTTCCTCCCCCAGCAGCCCAGCCACCAGCACAGCCCCTGCATCCCCCAGCCCCTCCACTGGTCCCCCCCTTGCCAACCAGGTCACCCTGACATCCAGACAAGCCACCAACTCCTGCAGGACTAGATTGACAAACAATTCAGGACAAACAAGGCTTTGAAAGCAGAGCAAGAGCCTGGGGGTTCCCTGCCCAGGGGCCCACCCTGCTCTTTGCTCTGGATAATTCACCAGTAACACTGGGATCACAAACCCCCTCCCATTGCAGTCACTGAAATCCGTGTTTGGATCGTGCCCATCTCAGGCAGGGCCCCCTCAGGGACCAACCAGCACAGCCCCTGTCACCACCAGAGTCCCCAGCAGGTCCCACAGGGGGATGCTGCACAACCAGAGGAGATGGTTCCTCCAGCCTGGGAGGAGTGGGGTGATGCTGAGCTCACTTGTAAAGGGTCCTCATCCACCCTGAACAACCTGAGAAACCCCAAAGTCCCTCAATCTTCTTCCACCAGGCCCAATTTCCAGTGGTTTTCTCCAGAAACTGCACCATTTGTCCCACACCTGCAGCTCCAGCCTGCAAGCTCCTGGGGAACATCATTGCTGGGTGCCCAACGTTCTCCACCCCCAACATCTCCACCCCTGACATCTCAGCACCCCCTGCCAGGGGGAAGAGGAGAAAATAAGATCTTTTCCTAAGCACACAGCCAGGGCTTCCTCCAAGACCAAGGTGGGCACCAGGGTGTGCCCTGCAGACAAGTGGGTGACTGGCCCCCAGCCCTCACCCATGGGTGATGAGTGGCTGGTATCTCCCCCAGCCCAGCTGGGGGCTCTGCAACAGGCAGGGAGTGGTTGGAAGGCAGGCCATGAGGTTATTTTCTCATTCTGGGTTTATTTTCTCCTCTCTTCAACTCAAGCCTTTTCTTCCCTCTTTCTCAGCTGCTCCCCAGAGTGAGGGAGGTCAGGAAAAAAACCCAAAAGGTGAGGAGCAGGGGAGGAGGTGGAGGGCAGCCTGGCTCTGAGCCTTCTGCTCCTTTGGGGCAGAGCTGGACAAGCATTTTCATCAAATCATTTAGGCTGGAAAACAGCCTGGAGATCTCAGAGTCCAACCCTTTGCTGGCTGCAAAACCTTGCACGAGCTCAGGCTGGAGATGGGAGGGAGAGGCAGAAGTTCAGGGCATGAGGAGGTGGCAGGAGAGACCTGAGAGTGCAGGGGAGGCTTTTCCAGACACCCAGCACTGGTCAGGGCTGCTCTCAGCACCAGATCCCTTGGTGTCCCAGGACATCTGGGGCTGTGTTGCCTCTCAGCTGAAACCTGAAGGATTCAACCCTGGGCATGGGGGGAGGTGGGTGCCTGGGTCCTGAGCTGTGCTCAGCCCTGCCCGGGGCTCCCGTGGATTTAGGAGCCCAGGAGCAGCAGGAACATTTGCCAGGTCATACATTTCAAGCTACTGCAGGTGTCACAGCTCTAACTCCTTAAAAGCAGCGAGAGCAGCCAGCAGGGCTGAGTGCTGCTGGGCTAGAAACTGATTTCAGCCCTGAAGGGCAGCCAGGACGTGGCCGAGACCACTGGCAAAACCAGGCTCAGCTCCCTGAGCTGATCCACCACCCCATGGACAAACACCCCTGGGCAGTGCTGTCCAGCTCCCTGCCTTATTTTCCCCTCCCCTTTCCAAAGCATAAAACTGCCTCAAATTCCCAAAGGAGCCAGGGCACTCCAGACAAACATCACGAGAAGCTTTGGCTTCTCCAAGGCCACGGAGGCTTCAGCAGAACAAGCTCCCCCAGAGCAGCCATGGGGGCGTTTGCTCAGCAAACAAGCCCAGGCAAAAAGCAATAAAGAAAAGCTTTTAGAGCCACTAGATAACATTGCAAGCAAACAAACTCCAGCACATATGTTAATTGGATGATTTGATTTAGAAAGCGAAGCGGAGGAGAAATCAATCTCGGGAGCTCAATCCCCTGAACTCTTCCCAGCCTGGAGCTGCAGCTTGGATAGACCCAACCCCAACCCTCTGGCATGGGCACTTGGGTCCCCCCTGCCCTCCCAAATCCATTTGGAGCTTTGTCTTCACTGCAGTAATGGCTTGCATCTCGACGTGCCAGCTTTAAATGGACACAGTTGTCCTCTTTAATTAGTTTTCGTGGGATTTAGAGCCTTCAACAAAACACCCCCAGGGCTGATGGATTTATGCCCGTTTAATTTTTAGGACCCATGGAGAGTCAGTGAAGCTGATGAGGAGCAATGGGATGCAACATATGCCCAGTTACTGTAAACCTGTCTGTTTGTGCCTCTGAAAATGGAGCATTAAAGTGATTCACTGGCAGCTCCCCCGGGCCAGCAGTTCTGTGCTCAGACCAACGCCCTCTCCGATCTGTGGATGGGGCCTTCTCATCCTGAGAATGTGCAGACAGGGTTCCCCTAGCCATCCCTAATCACCCACCTCCCACCAACCTTGCCAACATCCTCCCAGGAATCATAGGATCATAGTTTCACAGGGGTTGGAAGGGACCTCTGAAGGTCATCGGGTCCAACCCCCCCTGCTGCAGCAGGAACATCAGGGCAGGTCACACAGGAACGTGTCCAGATGCGTCTTGAAAGTCTCCAGAGAAGGAGACTCCACAACCTCTCTGGGCAGCCTGTCCCAGGGCTCAAGGAGAAGGAGAAAGTCCTTTTTCCTTCCCAGCCAAACATCACACTCAGCTTCTCCCTTCCCACCCCCAGCTCACCAAGTGGCTCTTACACCTGGGTCACAACGGTTTCTTCACTCCCAATAAACTTGATTTACACATAGGAGTGGATGAAATAGGAGGCAC